TATTTGTAATTATTGGTCTTATAGACCAAAGAAACCCCTAGTGGATTCTCAATACAAATTATTAAATAAAGATAAAGGCAAAACCTTACCTTAAACAAAAAAAAAAAAAAAAAAAAAAAGATATTAAATATGCAATTGTATTTATTTAGTTATTTTTTTAAATAAATATTTATCATTATTTTATTATATAACTCTGCAATCTAAAATTTTATTTTTTTAAAATTTTTTGTATACTGGTATTTCTAGTTTTTATTCTCTCTTATATTGTTATCTGTTATCTATAGAAACTTATCTTTGGTTATGTAAAATATTCTATAAGCATAAAGTCTTTTAAGATATAAAAAAATTTAGTCATATAGGAGTAAATCAATTAAAATTAAACAAAAATTTTTAATTAATTTTTTAAAATTTTAAACTAAAATAACTTAACAAAAACTTGATTAAATTTAATAAAAATTTTTAAAATTAATTTAAAAACAAAATATATCAAATTTGGTTAAATTTTATTAAGTTATTTGTATTTAAAATTTAAAAAAATTTGATTATAAAAAATTTGTTTGATTACTATTAACTTACCCATATTTTAATTATAATTAATAAATCACAATATTTTACTGATAATTAAAAATAATTAAAGTAATAAGATAGTTTTTATTTAATCATAAATATATTTATAAACTTACTTGTTATACTTAAATTCTTCACTATTTGTTGCTCAATAAAATATATTGTTAATAGTTCTAAAAAATCTATTTGTAAATTTTTAATAAAGTCATCAATTTCTTGTTTAAGAGAATTTTTTTCAAAAATTATACTTTCTGGTTTATTTGCTCTTGCTTTATCATTATTTTCTGTAATCTTATTAGCTTTATTATAGTTATCTTTTCTTTCTTCTTCATTATAGTTATTTATTACAATTTTATTAGCTTTGTTATAGCTATCCTTACATTTTTTATTATAATTATTTACTATATCTTATTAGCTTTATTATAGCTATTACTGCTTTCTTTAACAATATTCTCTTTTCTTTCTTTATTTAGATTATTTACTCTTTCTTTACTATAAACAATTGTTTTATTTGCTCTTTCTTTACTATAGTTAACTCTTTTTTCTCTTTATGATTATTTACTCTTACTACATTTAATTTATTCGCTATTACTGTAGTATCTCTTATATTGTTAAAGTAAGTTGAATCTGAACTAAGATTAGTCAAATTCAACCTTGCTCTAACTGAGTTTGAAGCTATCACCTTATCAGCTCTTATATTAATTAAGTTAGTCATATCTGATCTAATAAAACTTCAATTAAATCTCTTGAACTTGAAGCTGTTTTCTTATCATAATTGTTAAAATAATTTGCAACAACTTTTGTTATATATATACCAATTTGATAATTCAGCCTTGAAGATTTTTTATATATAAAAAAAAATAACAAAAAATTAAAAATTGACTAAAATTATATTAAAATTATTTTAATATTTTGTATTAATAAATAATAATTATTCTTTGATTTTTGTAAACTAGACTTATAGTAATAATTTTTATTATAATTATAATTTCTTGTTCATATTATATATAATAATTACTTGGCTACTACAATAATAGGTTTTTATTATTATAATTACTTGGCTATTTTAATAATAAATTTTCATTATAATAATATAATCACTACTATAATTACTTGTATTTTATTATAATAATTATTTGTATAATAGATTTTCACTACAGCAATAGGTATTTATTATTATAATTATTTAGCTACTACAGTAATAAGCTTTTATTATAATTATAATAATTTGGTCTATAATAAATTTTTATTAATATAATAATTTGATTATTTGCAGAATTTTATTATAATTATAATTACTTGACTATTAGAATAATAAATCTGCATTATAATATCTATATATCTAAAATAAATAATTCTAATAAATATTATTAAGAAAGATATATAGCTAATTTCTTTTGTAAAAATAGTAAATCTATAAATACTTTAATGAGTAGTAATTGAACACTAAATATTATTGCAATTACTTGGCTATTTCAGTAATAAGTATTTATTATATTAATTACTAGATTATTATTGTAATAATTTTTTTTATAATTATTAACTTTTAAGAAATATAAATTAAAATTATCATATATAATTATGGATTTATCACAATACCTATATCTAATAAGAATCTAAAATATTTATATAAATTTTTTTAAAAAGTTAAAAACTAATTTATATATAATCTGCAATAAAGTAATTATCACAATACTAATTGCTTTGTCACTTTATTGACAAGCTAATCAATTTATTATATTTATATTATTAGAGTTTTAGACACAAAATATATAATTATATAGTAATTGTAATATAAACATGTTAGTTAAAAAATTATTACAAATTCAAATAAATATAGAGTTAGTGATATATTAATTTTCATGCTATATAATAAGCATGTTTATAAGATATTCAAGAGTTTTAATTATACAAAGCAAAACTATCAATTTATGAAAATATCTATAAATCAGTTATAAACAGAATTTATAATATATAAAGAAAATTTGGCATATTAGTTTTTAATTTTATAATATATACAAATATTTTTACAGTTTAATATAAATTTTTAAGATTTATATATAAGATATGTAATCCTGTTATTATAAGTAAATATGCTATTTTATCAAATTATTTAAAGATTTGAATATATATAAAAATTATAGTAGCTTGTAATTTTTACATAATTTATATACTAAATGCATAATAACAAAATAAAAATAAAACTTAAAATTATATTTTAAATCTATAATATTATAAAGTATTTTATAATTTTAATATATTAATTTTATTCTATTATTTATAATATTAGAATTACTATTTATTTAATATATAGTATATTTTAATATAATCATTCATATGAACTCTCAATATAGCAAAGATTCAATATCACAAATAATTTTAAATCATAGAATTATTAATTTTGATAAAGTATACAAGATATTTTCTTGATACTGTTATATAAAAATTTTTTTTTTTTTTTTGGTATTAAGGTGACCCCTTTGGTCAAGTACTTTTATTATTGTATAGACTATTTTTACAACT